CAAGATGGGAACAAATTTTTTAAAATATTCTAAAATCAAACTGAATAATATGTGAGGTTGACTGTAGTAAGTGACAAACGGTAGGGATCAAAAAATAGCTTGGTACTTTGTAAGTGTGCATATCTATTGCGAGGTAGATGGGATTCATTTAACAGATATGAAAAACTACAGCAGGGAATGAAATATGAAGGAGTCACTGTGTTCAGGTTTGGAAATGCTGAGCTACGTTCAGAAGTGTTGATTAATATGCCAATGAACAATTGGTATTCTAAAATAACAGAAAAGTCTTTGTATGTAAAAAAGGTCAGCAATAAGAATATCCTCCAATCACATCCTTCTTTATTTACTCTCTTCATTTTAGTAAAACAAAATGTGTTTTGAAAGCCCACTATAGGCCAAATCTATGGGTAGGCATTAGAGAAAAGCAGTAAGATAGTGTGTTGACTCTCAGGGCATTCATAAGGGGCATTGGGTGCTGAGCAGGGGAGAGAGCTACCAGAAGAAGCTTCCTGGAAGAGATGGTATTTACTGAGGATGCGAGGATACGATGGGCAGTCCTGCCTCAGGCTGATTACCAAACCATCACCTGCAGAGGGACTGCATGCCTGTCACTTATGTTCACAGTCTGTGTATTCCCTGTGGTTTCAGGCCAGCTCTAGGGTGTATTTCTCCCAAAATACAATCATACACTTAACTTTACTCTGCTCATTTATATCTCTGGAAGTAATGTGACTGCTTTGTGGGAGAAATTATTATAATCTTCTACCTTTTGCATCTTGGTAACAGGATATTTACAAGCAACTTTTGAGATAATACATAGTTCTATAACAGAGGTAAAAGCCTAATACTGAGTTCTGAGATCTCTCTGGAATTATCCACCCACCTACCTGGAAAAGTACAAATTCCAGGGTACCCAGAGAATGAAGTATTTTGAGTCCAGAGTATTTAAAATTCAGACTAATGCAGCAACTTGACTCCTAGGTATTTATCAAAGAGAAAAGGAAACATGTCTACAAAACGACCAAGACAAGAATATTCACAAAATGTTATTTATAATAGAAACTGGAGACCACCACATGTTCACTAGCTGCTGAACAGAAAAACAGATAATAGTATGTTGATACAATTAAATATTACCTAATGATATAAAAGGAGAAACAACTGATTCAGCAGCATGGATAAATCTCAAAGGCATTGTGCTGAGTATAAGGAGGCAGGCATGAAACTCCACTGATATACGATTCTGGGACCTTTAATCCTACTATGTTGACTTCAGCAGACTAAGAAACACCGGGGAAATTAGTGAAGCACACTCCTGAGTGTGAGGCTTTCAGATCTACGTCAGGCCCTCACCCCTTCGTGCTGGCACTGTTTTCTTGCTATTTGCCTGCTGCCAAGAACTGGGCAGTTTTGCTCCACCACACCTTCCCATCACACTGTTCCTGCCTAAGAACCAGCCAAACGTGAACTGAGTCCCCTGAAACCATGAGCCAAATTAAACTGCTTCTCCTTTAAGTTGAGTATTAGGTATCATGTCTCAGTGACAAGAAAACTAATATAGTATACTTATATATGAAATTCTAGAAAAGATAAAACTGAAGTCCTAGAGAGATCAGTGGCTGCCAGCCCAGAGATGAGCTGTAAGGGATCCAATGTAAGCTTTGGGGTGATGGAAACATTCTCTACCATGATTGTAGTAGAGCTTATAATAGTGTACACATTTTAAAATTTAATTGAATTACCTGCTAAAATTGGTGGTTTACATTATATAAATTATTCCTCAGTAAAACATTTTTATTGAAAAACAAGTGAGCCTTTGTCAAGGAACAGGCTCAAGTTCTACCACCTGGAAGATGTTAGTGGCCTTCAGGAAGCTCTCAGAATCAGTTTTGCCTCAGCTTTCCGGCTCTCAATAACATCTCTGCATAAACGCTTTGGTCTCAGATGCTTTATACTCCCTGGCTGTTTCAGACTAAGGAGCCTAATAATGAGCATTCAACCTGTAATGTACCTGCCACCCATCCAAGGGCTAGAATTCATCTGTTTCCCCCAAACAACTGATGATAAATAAACCTGAACCCTTAACACTAAGACTAGTAACCTGAAGATGGCAAAACCATCTTGGATTTACTGACTGGAGAAAAATGTCAGTAGGGATTACACTCGATAGAGTCTGATGATACAGTACCTACAATATTGCTGTTTTGCAATTATCAGTTTCTCAAAGAGTCAAGAGGTTGTGCTTATTTTTTTGCTCACCATTTGAAACCATCATTTCTCTATGATTTTCTGACTCCCTATGGCCTATTGAAATTTGGCTTCTCCATTATCTCTGTGGCCACAGACCACAGTATGATTGATAATGCCTGGCGACTTAGGAAGAGAGGAAAGTGAATCTTTACTGCAGCACAAGAGGACTGTATCAAGAGCAGCACAGAAGACTTCTCTGTCACCAAACATTGTTCACTTTCTTATTCCATCCCATCGATGCCATCAAACAAAACACAAGTGTGGACTTTCTGAAGAACTGTATTCTTAAGCTCTATTTTCAGAATTTCAATTATTACTAATAAAGAAGACCATTAATAAAAAGTTGTCAAATAAAATAAAGAATCACCGAACATCTGTATTAGGCTACTTGGTGTACACACATCACATCCTCATGACAATTCTGTTACATACGCCATTGCTTTCTTTGTGAATAAGTTCTCAGAAATTAAGTAACTTCGTTATTTAGTATTTAGCTAGACTAGAGAATGAGTCGGTCTCTAAGATTACTTTTAAAACAAAATGTAGAAACTATATATTAATTGTGGATTAAAGCTTAGTTTCATATTGAGAGCCCATTTACTAGCACTGTGGACCCAGGCAAGGGTCTATCTAGTTTACTATCTAGTTCAGTTCCCCTGCCTAGAAGAAAATAGACCCTACTTCACTGAGTTTTGAAAGGATTAAACAAGATAATTCACACAATCAGTACAGTAATAGCTTTCTGTATGATCTTAAAATTCTAAGCTGGCTTCAATTAGAAGAAACACATTAGATCTGCCACTGCCTGTTGGGCACCACCACCCGAAAGACCTTTCCTATGCGCACCCAGTGTGGGTAGAGAGAGCCAGAAGATTGGCCTCTGCCTGCCGGGTACTGCCAGTGATGGCCCTTTCCTATGGGTGCACAGTGCGGGCAGAGAGAGCCGGCAGATCTGCTTCTGCCTGCTGGGCATCACCAAAGGAAGGCTCTTTCCTACAGGTGCCCAGTGCCGGCAAAGAGAATCAGCCGATCTGCCTCCGCCTGCAGGGAGCTTCCACGGGAAGGCTCCTTCCTGCAGGAGACCAGCAGGAGCAGGGACACACAGCCCCATAAGCTCTGTGCACCTATAGGCCACCATTCGAGGTCCTTACTTCCTTCGGGCAGCCATCACCCAATAGAGGAATCAGACAAATACACCCGTGTGTCTGCCACCATCGTGGGAGTCCCAGTACAGACACACAGGCTGAGAGAAGCAGTTCCACTACCACGCACCCCTGGCCATCAGGGAAGCCCTGATGTAGCTGCATAGGTCTGGAGAAGCCTGCCCCATACCCTGCTACGTCCCTGGGAATCTAGGGGTACAGGAACCCAGGTATCTATCCCATTCCTCTACACCATGGAAGGGCTGACAAGGTGAAAAGTTCATGAGACACCCCCCAACCGGCTTGTTGGGAGGAACACAGTTAACTGGAATGGAAAGGAAATTCATAGACTGAAAATCAAAAGAGAAAAAATCAATTGTTCCAAGTGACAGGAGACCAGAAAAAAAGCAAGAGCAAGCTTCCCAGAATGGATAAGAAAGATATGGCATGTTCATGCAGTGGAAAGCTACCCAGCTATAAAGCAGAGTAACCTCAAGACTCCTGTAGGTAAATGGATGCAAGTGGAGATCATGTTCACGGGTGAAACAGTTCGAACTCATATGTGTGAACCCTTGCATAAGAAACAGAAGGAGTTAATAGGATCCAAAAGCAAAATACTTATCGTAGGAGTGATGGGGAGGAAACACCTGGAAGGGAAAAGTGATAACTACTGTTAATTTCTTATTATCTTGTCTTGAACTCTTGCATTGTTTTCACAATGTTGTTAGGTCTGGCTTTGTTCTGTCTTGTTTTGTTAGATTTTACTCTGTCTGATGATAGGGGCAGCTATTTTGAGTATAATGGGATATATTATGGTAATGTTGCTTTCCTATTATATTGCTCTGAAGTCTTATAATGCTTTCATTCATTTGTTTAATTGGTTTTATTCTGTTTTGTTTGATTTTATTATGTGTGATGGTATGAACAGCTATTTTGAAGAAAATAAGACATCATGGTAGCCATTGCTGATTTCCAATCATCTTGAAGTCCTACCACGCTTTTGTTCTTCAGTTTTGATTGGTTCTATCCTGTTGTGTTTTATTTGATTTTATTATTTGTGATGGTATGGACATCTTTTTTGAGGAAAATGAGATATTAGAGTAGCCACTGCTCATTTCCTGTTATCTGGTTTTGAAGTCCTATAATGCTTTCATTCTTCTGAATGGTTTTATACTGTTTTGTTATGTTTGCTATTATTGTATGTGAATGCATGGTCAACTATTTCAAAAAGAGACATTATGGTAGGCACTGTTGATGAGCTGTTGTCTTACTGTAAAGTGCTGTGTTGCTTGCATTGCTCTGTTCTGATTTGCTTTGTTCTGTTCTGTTTTGTTTTGCTTTATTCTCTTTAAAATTAAAAATTAAAAAATAAAAAAAGGAGAAACGCATCAGTGTAAATATCACGATCAATAGGCCAAAGGTTGAATTTTCACACCATGTATTCCACTTTGGCCTTCAATTAGTTCTGACCCTTTTAGTGTAGAACAACTTTTAATGGGGAAAATATATGTAAACCGTCAAGCTTTACTGAAGCCATCAGGATCATCTCCTTCCCAAATTATATACAAAGATTACATGACCATAACAGCTCACCCCTCTTCCACTCACCTGCTCTGGGTACTTGCTCCCAACGATCTCTGCTACAGTGTTGTAAGAATCTGTACCTGGGTAATTCTTCGCTTCCATTTTCAGCTGAATGACAATTTTGTTACCACGAGAAGCCATTCTTGATAGCATTTCTGCATCCTCCACTGTAATACAGGCTGTTGGGATCTTGGGCACACCATCCTGGTATTGCTGCATGCCTGTGTGAGGACTTGAAAAAGAAGCCACCAGGTTACCTTGACAGTGAAATGGACCGAAAGACCTTGTACATAGATAATTCAGTAACCTTTGAATAAGGGGAATAGGAACAGTGGCAGTATTGGTTTGCTTTTGATGTAAACACAATTTTTATTTTTGATAAAAGTGATTTAGAAAGTTTTATTTAATAATAATCTAATTGAAAATGTTAACATGAGCTTTTTAAAATAATTTGGAGGATCCTTTGGAGTTGAGAATTAACACAAACTCTAGAGAATATTAACAGTGCTTTCACATCCAAGAGATGAACATGTATACAAGGAGACCAGGAGTTCAAATGGGACCACCAAGATGCAGACCAGAAGATCCACTTGCTTGAATGAAACCCAACCCAGTTGCTCTCAGCCTTGCAGTGACTGGCCAGCGGTGGGCCTTCCCTCTTCCCATCCAAACACAGAGATCCAAATATACAATCCCGTGTTGGTAGCAGAACACTGCACAGGAAAACAGTATAATGATGTCTGGGGAAATATTTGTGTTACTATAAAGAAAGTGTTGAATAAACTCAGATTTCTGATTTTATTGCCACAATAAAAAGACAGCTACTATAATTATGGCACTCAAGGAAAAAATTATTCCAACTGGTAGAACTTTTCCTACTAATTTTTAAAATGCTGAGATCCAATAGTTGAAGTTCATGTTAATGCACTGTTATTCAAGCTCTGTATCTGCTAATGAAGTTTATAGAAATAGTTTTCTAAAGCTGCTTGTTCAAATGAGAGATGAATGAGTTCTGAAGATCACCACCAGTGCAGACTGGAAGATCCATGTGCCTGAAAGGAAACCATCCTAGATCCTCTCAGCTCTGCGGTGACTAACTAGTCTTTCCCCCAGGAACAGTCCCAGCTTCCCCTCTTCTGTCAAAACAGAAGATAAAAGCCTCCCTTTTAAAAATCTGTTTTTCTTTTCCTATTTCTATATTTGTTTCAGGTTGTCTCACATTTTCAGGACAGTCCTTTTCTTCTCTCTAGCCACAACACATTTCTCTCCTACAGATCACAGCATGGGCTTCAGTCCCATAGAAGTGACCCCAGTTTGCATATGCACAAACACAGTGCTCCAGTTTGATCCATAATTGCATCCGTGGTGTGACTGCATTGTGCTGACTGCAGTTCAGGAAACCATTTCGTTAGAGAAATGACAAAGCAACATGTGTGCAAACATTTGCTTCAGGAACATTACCTAAATTCAAATCTGGATTATGCCACTTATTAATACTTGGCCCACAGCAAGTTATCCACTTATTTTTCTAGTAATTTCTTCTATAAAAGGAAGTAATAATAATAACACCTAATTCTTGGAATTATTTTTCAGATTCAATTAATTTAAGTGAGTAAATAACATACTGGAAAACACTAATAATTCTATAAATGTTAAACATTTTATTAACTTCCTTATTACATTATCCCTGCAGAAACTGCCTAATCTTAAGTCATTACTACCATTTGAGTATGGTCTCTATAGACATTTCAGAGCATATCCCACTGAATCATAAAAGAGAGGCAAATGACTTATAAACCCAGACATTGGAGTACTAAGATCTGAATCTGCTTCTTGGCTCTGGAATGTAAGTACACTCTAACTTCTGGCTGAGGCTCTGGAGACACATAACTTAGGTCAAATCTTAGTTTCAGCATTCTCCAGCTGCATAGCATCCAAGAAACCTCAGATTACCTCTGTGTTTTTCAGTGTACTCATTAATAAAAAGGAGAATAATATTAGTATTAGCTTCATAATATTGCTCCAAGGAATAATAGATAGTATATGCAAAGGATTTAAGACAGTACTTGGCACATAAAGCACATAATTACTTAGTAAATATTAGTTGTTATTTCTTCAGTGTTAATTTTTCCCACTGAGTTGGTAGAATGATTAATGAATTTGAAAATTACCTTGCAACATGTAGAAAGACAATCTAAATATTTGTTATTCATATTATGTTACGTGATGTCTGGGATTCAACAAAATCTCCTTGTTCTCAGAGTCTCTTACTCAAGAGAACGTCAGTATAACACTTCTTATTAGGCCCTTTTAAATATGTTTCTAGACAAGTTCGCACAAATAAGTTACAGGTAAAAGTTTGGAAAGTGAGGACAGCCAGGCGTGCACCCAGGGCTACCCTTGGGAAATGATACTAAAAGGAATCTTTTAACTGTGGATCTGGATTCAAAATACAAAAGCCTTTGAATTTCCTTAACTTCAGTAGTAGAACATCCATCATTGTTTAGTAAGCGAAAGCAAAATGAAGACTCAATGCATTTGTTTAGAATCCTGTACTTTCACTGTAGTGAAATTGTCCTAGAAGGACCAATCAGCATAAGCACCACCTTTCTACTCCACATTTACTAGCTCCATCTGCAATTTAATTAGCAGTAGCAAAGGGTAAACTACAAAGGAAGCCACAAAAATCAATGTAAGAACATTTAAAGTTTAATATCAATGTTTCATAAACTCTGCAGAAAACATTAGTAGAAAGTAAAGCTAGAAATCAATAATTTCTTGAATACAAATGCAGAAAATCCTCCAAAAAATTCAGCAAACTAAATCCAGCAATACACAAGCAGAATTATACACTATAACTAAACAGGACCTATCCCAGGAATTCAAGGTTAGCTTAATGTCTAAAAATTAATCACTATTACCAAAACAATAACAAGCAAAAAACACACGATCATCTCAAGAGATGATTTGACAAAAACTTAAAGTCCTTTTATGATGAAAGCACTAATCAAACTAATGAAGGGGACTTCCTCAAATGATAAAACATTTCTACAAAAACTCATAGCTAACAATGATCTTCACGTTAAAAATCAGAAAGCTTTTATTCTGATATTAGAAATAAGACAAGGATGCCTGCTTTCCTCATTCCTGTTCTACATTGTGCAAGGGATTAAAACAAGGAAAAGAAAGAAAAAAACTCCAGCTAAAAGAAAGAAAGAAAGCTACCTGTTTTCACAGATGACATGATCTTGTGTTTAGAAAATCCTTAGTAATCTACCAAAAAATTAGCCTAGTTAACAAGTTCAGCACGGTTCAAAAACACAAAATCAATATACAGAAATCAATTGTATAATACTATATTAATCAGATTTATATTACTTTAAGGAATATGTGAGGCAGCTAACTTTATAAAGAGAAAACAGTTATTTAGGCCACAGTGTCAGAGATTTGAGCACATAGTACCTAAATTTGCTCAGTTCTGATGAAAACTTCATGCTAAAAGGCAGATAGAGGAGTCAGTATGGAAACAATAAATGATTACGTCTTGAACCAGGAACAGAGAGAAGGGGAGGGGTCGGGCTTGTTCCTTTTATATTGACCTTCTCAAACCACCAAAGGATCACATAACAATGTCTCATGCCTCAAATGATCTAAGGCTTTGCACTAGCACCCACACCTTTGAAGTTCACCACCTGCCAGGTGCCCGCCCACCCTAGGAACCAAGTTCTTACCTGTGAACGTTTGTGGGGATACAAACCATGTGCAAACCAGAGCAAGTGGCAGTGACTCAGTATATTACAACAGCCTTACAACAGAACAAGCTATCGGAAAATTTAGTTAACAAATCCATGTAAGCAACACAAATGATAAAATGCTACAGATAAATTTAACAGCAGCACTTCCAGAGCTATACACGGGGGGCTGAAAAATACAGTTGAAGTAAATTAAAGATCTAAATAAATGGGAAGATCTCTGATGTTTATAGGTTGGAAGACATGTTATTAGGTTGGCAGTATTCTCTAAATTGATCTATTGATTCAATGCAATCTCTATCAAAATTCCAGGTTCTTTTTTGAAAAGAAATTGACAAGCTGATTGTCAAATTCATACGGAAAAGCAAAGAACTCAGAATAACTAACAGAAACTGGAAAAAAGTATAACAAACATGGAGAACTCCCACTTCCAAATTTCAGAATTTATTACAAATATACAGTAACCAAGACAGTGTGGTACTGGTATAAGAATAGATACATAAATAAACAATAGAATTAAGAGCCCACAAATAAAGTTTTTTTAAGGATAGTCAATTATTTTTCAACAAAATGCCTAGATAATCCAATGAGTATAGAACAAATGATGGTGGGCAACCCAGATATCTCTGTGCTAAAGAATAAAGTCACAACCCTACATCACACCATGTGCAAATTTAATTTAGAATTAAGCAGACCTACGTATACTAGCCAAAAGTATAAAAATTCATGGCTTCAGGTATAGAAACTGTTTCTTAGATACAGTATCAAATCATAAGCAACAGAAGAAAAAGTATGCACACTGAAAAATGAAATTGTTAAAAGTTTGGTGTTTCAAAGAAAACCATCAAAAAGTGAAAAAAAAAAACTGTACTCAGAATTGGAGAAATATTTGAAAATCATATAGCTGATAAAGCAAGTTAACCAACAGGCTCAGCAAGATTGCAGGATATAAGATCAATATACCGAAGTCAGTTGGACAGTATCTAAAAGAGATAAAGAGTTTTTAACATCTCAATAATAAAAAGAAAATCAAACTTAAAAATGAGTAAAGAATTTAAGTAGACATTTCTCCAAAGGAGATAAACAGGCAAGGTATAAGCACATGCAAAGATGCTACACATCATTAGCCATAAGGGAAAAGGACACTGAAACCACAGTGAGATGCTGCTTCACATTCACAGGAATGGCTGTGAGGAAAAAGACAAAAAGAAAGTATCAGGATGTGGAGCGGTCTCAGCCTGTATACACTGCAGGTGAGAATGTAAAATGGTTTAATTACTTAGGCAAACAATTTGACAATTCCTTAAAAAGCTGAACATATATGCATCATATGACCGAGCAATTCTATAACTTAGTATATATTCAAAAGAAATGAAAATACATAGCAGTACAAAATTTAGACATAAATATTTATAGCAATATTTTTCATAATAGTCAAACATGGAAACAATTCTAATATCTATCAACTGATAAACAGTTA